ACATATATTTAAAATACATGCTATTGGGGCCAGGGAGATAGCTCAGTGGAATAAGAACTTGCCTGGCAAGCACAAGGCCCTGAGTTCAACCCCCGGTACTGCAATAAATAAATAAATAAAATACAAGTTATCATTGGGTGTGGTGGTACATGCCTGTAATCTCAGCTCTTGTGAGGCTGAACACAAGTGGCTCACTTAGGGGTCTGATCTATGGAGTGAGACCCTGTAGACCCTGTACTAAAAAAAAAAAGTTATCGTAACTATCAATTACCTTCCTTGGTTCACATTTAGATGAGAGAAGAAGACAGGTACAGTAAAGAACATTTCATAAATGTTCAATATTCAGTAATACAAGTACATACAGATGTAGGGCAGTTAGTAACACAAACATAGAGATGCAATACTTAACAGAGCAGAACACGTTGGCTTGAATGGGTCAAGATCCATTTTGAAGAATCTCTGTTTTCCCAACCAACTTGCCAAAGAGTCAAAGAGGGTCTAAAATCGAAAAAAGGGCTTGAGAGTAACCTTGGGAACCAGTTCTCTCGAAACTCTTAGAGTAGTAGAGGTTCTGAAACACTAAAAGTTTCAGAGTTACAAAGTATTTTTTAAAACAAAACACTTCAAGTCCAAACCCCGAGAGATTCTGGTTCGCTAATTGTGGGGAGATATCCAGAAATCTGCATTTTTTTTTCAGAAATCTGCATTTTAAGGGGCTTCACAAGTGATCACCATGGAAGTGGGCTGTGACCACACTTTGAGGAAAAAAGACTTTCATACATACTGTCCTGTCTAAAATAATTACAATTATATTAAGAAACACTAACACATCAGTTAAGATTAGATGCATTCAGTATGCTAATGGCCATAGACAATGTCAGTTCAACAGAGGCTATTTCAAACATGTAAAGCACAATCTACATGTTTATTGTTTGTGTGAAAATACAGACAGAGATAAGAGGAGTGGAGGAGAAAGGAGGAAAAGGGAGGGGAAGAAAGGGGAAAGGGGAGAAGGGAAGGGGGAGGGGGAAACTCAATCATCTAAACCTGAGATTCAACCTAACCTTGCAGATAAGCAGAAGGCAAAATGTATGGCAAGGATGCAAGCTGTCCTCTGTATTTAGAGGAGAAGGGAATTTACACAAAGTTTACAAATCTTATTTTGTCAAGGTTCTATCTTTTTTTTTTTTTTGCGGAACCGGGGATTGAACTCAGATTCTTGCATTTGCCAGTCAAGCGCTTATCCTACTGAGCCATCTCCCCGGCCCAAGGTTCTATCTTAACAGCTGACAATCTGAACATTCTCATTTTTTAAAGAAAACAAACCAGCAAGTTTGCTGAGCTGCTGTGTGTTTCATGGTGATCTGGCAACTAACTGCATGATGTGACTTTACTGCAAGTCTATCAACTTTACTAAGTTGCTCTAGTCAATGGCATCAAGATCTCTGAGTTTTTTTTTTAAATTTATTATTTTTTTAAATGTATTTAGTACAGGGTCTATAGGGTCTCACTACACAGCTCGGACTCATAGTGTTTCTCTTGTTTTCAGCCTCCCAAGTACTGGAATTACAGGCATGTGCCATGATGCCCAGTCTTAATGGCTGTCTCAGCACGCCCTGGGGATGGGGCCAGCACAGCATGCTGGGAATCAAACCTGGGTTCCTGTACCTGCCTAGGCAGGCGCTTTAGTCTGCTGAGCTATCTGGCTGACCCCAGGATTTCTGAGCTTTGAAGGGCACATGTGACCCAAGCTGTCTTTGAACATTGCTATGTGAATACATAAAATTCAGGGGTCTGGGGAGATGGCTCAGTAGAAGAAGTGCTTGCTTGGCAAGCACAAGGGCCTGAGTTCAATCCCCGGTACTGGAAAAAAAAAAAAAAAAAAAAAAAATTGAACTTTTGTGAGAATTTCTTCAAAATATATAGTAATATGACATTAGTATATACTTCTCTTGGTATTATATTTCCAATACAATGAAATTCTAGAACTGTTTAATCATATTTTACACTCCATGCCAATGATTTGTGGGAAAATACCTATGTATCAACCTCACTTTTTAGTTAAGTGGATGATTACAAAATTATGAACTTGAGTCTCAAAATGATTTTATAATAGATTTCTGTGTTTACTAAATCCTGATTTTCTATATTTTGCCAAAGGATAACCTAAATCCATTTATTTCATTAGCACTTTGCACTGTGCCTGGTACATACTTGGCAGTCATCAAGTATTTTTTTTTTTTTTTTAATTTATTTGCAGTACCAGGGATTGAACTCAGGGCCTTGAGCTTGCCAGGCAAGCGCTTATTCTACTGAGCCATCTCCCTGGCCCCCAAGTATTTTTTGTTAAACACATAAATAGAATAGTGTGTTTATACAAAAAAACAATATGTATTCCACACTGATGTTATAAGAAGGTCCTATGAAATGACTTTCATTTCTGCTGTCTTTTCAGGGACAGAAAGACTTACTGGCTTTGGCAAAAGCAAAGAACTATTGCAGAGGTTGAAGCTTATTAGTAATTCACCTTTGCACAGAAAGATGCAAATATATTAGTCAGAACACTGCATTACTATATAGAAGACAATGTCATTATCTTAAAGAACAGGTGAAAGATCTATCTACTTACCTGCCGTTTTTGGTTTTTTTTTTTGGTGGAACCAGGGATTGAACTCTGGCCCTTGCGCTTGCCGGGCAAGCACTCATTCTACTGAGCCATCTCCCCGGCCCTGTACCTACTGTTTTTTGGACAGGGTCTTACTATGAAGGCTAGGTTAGCCTTGAACTCATGGTGATCTTTCCACCTCTGCCTCCTGAGTGGTGGAATTACAGGCACACTTCACCACACCCCACAGAAGTTGCATACTAAAATACTGTCTCACACATAAAAAAATTTCCTAACTAAAATTCTACAGAGATTTATTTATTTATTTTTATGTATTTAGTACAGGGTCTACAGGGTCTCATTACATAGATTGGACTTGTAATGATCCTCCTGTTTTCTGTCTCTTAAACACTGGGATTACAGGCATGTGCTACCATGCTCAGTCTTCGTTGTCGTCTCAGTGCACCCCAGGTGCAGGGCCAACAGGGCACGCGTGGGGGTGCGGGTGGGATCAAATCCCGATCCCTGTGCCTGCCTAAGCAGGCACTCTAGTCTGCTGAGCTATCTGGCCAGCCCTCTGCCAAGATTTAATTTATTTAAAAGATTTTTGTATTTTTCCATTTTTGGCTCCCTGGGCTCTGATAATATTTTTAAGGCAAAGAGATTTATTACTTTTCATCATATAGTAATAAAATAGCTACATGTAAGATCATGCTCTAAGGTCAAATGGCTGACTTGTCTGTATTCTTGCTGTAACTTAACTAAATTAAGTAGATTAATATTCCTTCATAAAAAAGTATATAAAAGGTACAAGATAATTCACGTGAGCTATTAAAATCATGACCGATGCAATACCACTCTGTGTGAAAATAAGTTGTCACTGAAAAAACTTCCAACTACATGAGAATCTGCCAAGAAAAAGTTTAAAATGCTTTGAGTTTTAAAAAAAAATTTTACTGAAAATTATTATAAGTGTTCTTTACTAATTTTATTTTTTACAATTTTCATCCCTGTTTCAATGGCAGATACAAATTGAAAAATAATTTTAAAACATTTTAGGGACTACCTTAGGCAGCTTTATCTAATAAAATTTTCTAAAACAAAAATGTTCTGTAGCTGTTCTATAGCTACTTAGCACTTGAAATATGGGTAGCGCAACTGAAGAACTGAATTTTATTTTATTTTTAAGAACTGAATTTTAAAATTTATTCAATTTAAATTCAGATTTAAATAGTTACATGAGGCTTGTAGCTGGCAAACTGAATATACAAACCAAAAGTGCTACTAAGCATAAATGTCTAAGCAACTACAGAAAGGGAAGCTGTAAAAACAAATGATTTTGCTATTACTAATCACATCTAAAATAATTTGTAGGGGGCTGGCGAGATGGCTCAGTGGTCTAAAGCACCTACTTGGAACAAGCTTGGCAGAGCACAAGGACCACGGTTCAATCCCCCAGCACCACATGCCAGCCAGCCCCGCCCCCTGGTGGGCTGAGCTGGCCACACATACACACACACACACACACTAAATAAATAAATAAATGTTTAAAAAAAATAAATAAAATAATTTGTAATGGTAAAAATCTAAATATCATATAGGTTGCAGATGTAGCCCAAGAGAAGTACATTTGGCTAATATGCATGAGGCCCTGGGTTCTACTCCCAACACACACACACACTCTCTCTCTCTCTCTCTCTCTCTCTCTCTCTCTCTCTCTCTCTCTAATACCAGTTCTTATACAGTCTCATCTGTATCATTTAGTGATATTTTGCACAACTCTTTCAGCACTTTTTAAATCAGAAAGAATACTGTTTAGTCGTTACAATAAATTACATGCTTATGTAAGCAATCCAGCTTTTTGTGCATCAAATGAAGAACACAACAGACTTTGCATCAGAGTTTCTTTGCATCACAGTCCTTACTTTCTTAAAATTAATTAATTCGGGGGCCTGGCCCTAGCTCAGTCCTTTAAGTGGCTGCTTCCACAAAGCTGTCAGCCTCAGGTTGCTGGAGTTCGAACCTCACAACTCTCCCGCTGGCCAAAAGTGCCCTGAAGGCATTCGAGGAAGAAAAAAAAAAAAATTAATTCACTGAGCCAATATAATTCAAAAATGACAGGAACAACAGTTTTAAGATGGAAGACTTATATGATCTGAAGAGAAACCAGAGTACAGCAACATCAGTTGTTTTTTTTTTTTTTTTCTCTGCATGACCTCAGGGCAGGTTTGGCCTGCTTGAGTTGTGGGGATCGAACCACAGCAACCTGAGCCTGACTGCTTTGTTGAAGCAGCCACTTAAAAACTGAGCTAAGGGGCAGGCCCCCAGCAACATCAGTTTTAAGAGGTAAAAGGAGCATTTTATAAAAAAAAAGTTAATGGGAGCATAAACTTACCATGACCATTTTCCTTTGTTCATATAGCTTCTGTAATTGGTAAGACTTTTCTTCTGCTTTGATGTAACCTTTCTTCACATCGTCAACAGCCTATCACCAAAATAAAAGCAGGGAAGAAGGAGAAGTAAAAGTCATTATCAAGCACATTTTTGATAAAAATCTAGATACAGGTACATTTTTAGAAAAACCTGCATTTTCTTGGATCATCATCATAACTGTATCAACATGGACATACTAATTGGAATAACTAACATTTAAAAAGTACCATGTGTTTAAGAATTGCTCTAGGCATGTGAAAAATCTTTTTTTCTCAAGAGACTTAAATGCTACTAAATTTATAAACGTGAAAACAGTAAGAAGAAGGGTCATAAGTTTGAATCCTATGTAGGCAACTTAGCAAGACCCTGTCTCAAAATTTTAAAAACAAGGGGCCGGGGAAATGGCTCAGTGGAATAAGCATTTCCCTGGCAAGCGCAGTCCCTGGTTCCGCAAACAAAACAAAACAAAACAAAACAAAAAACCAAAAAAAAACCCGAAAGTATTAAACAAAATAAGAAACAACTAAAAAACACTGAAAGACAGTGCATAGTAGGTAGCAAAATATAAGGTCTAGACAGTGATATACGCAGTCAGGACAGGAACACTTACTGTTAATTACAGTTATCAGGGAAGCCTTAGGCGGACCTTGAAAGGATGAGGAAAACTACAAGATGAAGTCGGGAAACAGGAATGGATTTGAACTCTAAACATTCAAGAAACAAGGCATGGTGGTGTATGCTTGGAATCCCAGTACTTTTGGAGGCTGAGGCAGGAAAATCACAAGTTTGTCAAGCCTAGCTAGGGAAGCTCTGCTCCCCATCTCAAAACAAACGAATGTCTGGGGAAATAGCTCATTGTCTGTGTCTGTGTCTGTGTGTCTGTCTGTCTGTCTGTGTGTCTGTCTGTCTGTCTCTCCCCCTCTCTTTCCCTCCCCCTTCCCCCTCCTCTTCCCTCTTCTTCTCTCTCTGTCTCTGTTCAAGAAACAGATATATGTGTTACAGGACAATGAAAGACAAGTGCTGGATAGGGAGGCTAACAATAGATATTAAAAGATCCTAATAATCCGGCACAGCATTTCAACTCAAGAAAACATACTAAAGTAGAGAACTAAAATAAAATTAAAAGGCTGCAGAGACTGGTCAAAATAAACCTGCCTTGCTTCCTCCAAGGTGTATTTTTATCTTGTTTTTTCCTCTCTTGCAGACAAAGTTTCTCTCATTCTTTAGTTCTACTTATTGAAGTAAACTTTGCAACAAAGAGAGACAGAGAGAAGGGGCAGTGGGTTGTTAAACAGTGAGATATTGACTAAAAAAAAAGACTGATTTGTGTCTGATGTGTCACTGCTGTTGTGCCAAATGAATTAAGCCAAGGAGAGAATGCAATAAAGGAGATAAAGGGTGCTGTGGCACTAAAGTAGAAATTATTTCCCACAGTCATTAAGGAAGAAAGGGTGGATAACTGAGTAAGTTTAGGATTAAAATCAAGGTAAGAAAAAAAGACATAAAAGTAAGTAGAGGGCCAGGGAGACAGCTCAATGACATAAGCGCTTGCCTGGCAAGTGCAACGCAAGGTCTGGAGTTTGATCCCTAGTATCAAAAAGTGCAAGGACCTGAGTTCAATCCCTGGTATTTTCCAGTATTTATCTTATGTTTTACTCTTAGTACTTCTTTGCTATCATGAAAACTTTTTCTTAGTGCAATTGTTTTGAAACATTTAATTCTTTATTAGTATTTAATTTTCTGAATATTGCTTAATCTTAATTTTTGTTCTAAGATTTAGACTATATCTTTGACTTACAATTTATTTAAAAGACATTGTATGATATCTTCTAGTATTAGAAACTTTAAAAAGTATATTTCCATTTTCTGTTGACTTTATATTACTTCTTCCCTGTCTTTTATACATACATACACACACACACATATATGGAAAAAAATACGTGTATAATCCAACATAAGA